CTTAGCAAGTCACGCAGTGACACATATAGAGTATTACCTCCACCAGTTACGAACTCAATGGAGGTGACTAGCAATGTCCACAATCTGACAGATTAGTTTGGCAAAAGATCAAGAACAAAATGTTAATGTCTTACTAAGGATAGACACAATTACTTCCTACTCGGCTTATACTTGATACTTGATTCGTATTTGGTTCTTAAAATTAAGTACTCATTTTATTCAAGTCGAGTATCAAATCGTTTATTTCAATTACTTACAAATATAAGATAAGTACCAAGTATTAAAATGAAAACAACTACTCGGCGTTGTTGACTTGTTACTCATGATTTATTATTTGACTTATTACCCGTTTTTACTTTTGAACAAAAAAATCTTTAAATTATAATCAAATTACTTTAGAAATATTTTAGAGTGATATATTATACAAATATTATAGTTTTTTTTTTTATTTTGTATTTATCATACTTAAAACAAATGAAAACTAAATAAATATTCTTTATTAAAAAAATTTAGATTAGAATTATAACTAACTAACTTTTTCTTAAATTCTTATACAAGGTTCAAGCAACTAATACTAATAAATTATTATTAAATAATTTATAAATAATTATATAATAATTTATAAATTAGTTCAGAAGTAATAAATAGTAAACAAGTACTTGCAAGTATATCATTTTCTAGCAAATATTTGAAAGTGCAATTACTCATTTTTAATAAATCAAATACAAATCTAAAATTTTATTATTTGAACAAACCAATTAAAATATCAAATCAAAAATGGCAAATACTTGGCTTGTGTCCACTCCTGTTTACACAATCAAATGGTCTGAGATATGTAACCAAGGCTTGGGTAATTGAAAGTCTGGATGACATCTATGTAATAAGGTCCCCATTGGTGTTTTTGCGTACTGTTTTTCTTTTTGATTTAAACAGTTTTATTTTAGTCGGGATTTAAGCACTCTAAAGTCTTAAAAACCTTTCCTTAGAAATCTTACGGGTGACAAAAAAAAAATGTTACAGCCAATATATTGATTTTAGTCATAATGTGCATTAATTTTGTTAAAGCTACAATTCATGGCTTTTAACATTTATAAAGTCATAACTATTTACACTAATTTTCCTTATCGTTAATGCTTGTTTTTTATTGCACATATAACTCCGTTATACAATTCAATATTTTAAGACAAGTGAGGTGAGCTCCTTTGAAAATGTAAACGCAGAAGAAAAAAATCTGATAACTGTTCACGATGTTGATGCTCGAGCAAAAGGATATACGCTTTGGCCCATTTCTTTTGGTAGATATATTACTAAAATAATTTGTCGTCTTACCCGTAAGTATATGCCTTTCTGACGCTATCTTCTGACGCAAATTTGGAATATACATACTCGAAAAACATAATTGACAAAAAAATATGTCATCTGTTTAAAGGCAATCATTTAGAAAAAAAATAATATTTAAAGAGATATATTTTTCACATCTTAATATTTTTCACATCTTAATGTATTTTATTAATAAATTATAAATTTTGATTGCCTAAAAGTTAATGATATTTTTTTAAATTAAATTGTAATATTACTTTTAATATGATTGAAATTTTTAAAGCATACATTTTTTTGAAACAAAAAAAGTAAGTTGGATTAGCGAAACAAAAACATTGCATAGTATATTGGACTGGCACAACAAAGATATTTCATCTCTACATCTTATTCCAAAAGTGTTTAATGAGTACTACCATATTTCAATATCACATATACAATATATATATATATATATATCACTTATACAATCTCCATATAAAGTTCCAAACGGTCTCAGATATTTCATATTCCTTATGATGTGATCTATAAGTTGTTACCTAAAAACATACATACCGAGGTAAATATTGTTGTACTACGATAAGATATGTGCTTTGTGCAGGGTAAATGTATATAATTAAAATATAAATTTTTAGTATTGACAAATTTAAAATATACATATAGTTATTTTTATATGTATTTGAAATTTTAGAATTTTGGAATTTTTATATAATTATCTATACGTAAGATCAAATAACAATTGTAATTAGAACTGTATATCAAAGTTTAGAATTTAATTGACATGATTTCATATATTTTTTCACTTTCCAGTGTTCGAGTGATGAAAAATAAATGGAGTGTCATTGGGCTTGATTGGTAGAGTATTAACAACTGCCCTAATGTTTTCTTAAGAAGCAGTTGGTAAAATATTGCATTAAAATATATAAAGTTCAAAACTAAATTAATATAAATTATTATTTTGTCTAATAATATTAGAAAATTATATTATTAAAGATTATATTTAAAAAAAAAAATTTACAAAAAAAAATAAATTAAATTTTAAATTATTGTTTAAAAAAATATTTTAAGTTTTTCAAATACAAGTAAACAATTTAAAATTAATTATGGTCATGATTTAACATAACCATAATAATTTAAAAATTTAAAATTAATTATGATTATGAAAATTTTACGTTCACGTGTCAATCCTATTTATCTTCACTTTTTTATCTTGTTGTGTTTTTTTTTAATTTTGGTTATTACTTGATATAAATATTTATTTTGAAGTTTATTCTCATTTCGTTTGTTTGTTTTGACCTGAGATTTAGAAAATACTTAAGATTTAAAATAATTAAAGAGATACATACTTAGGTTAAGATCTGCATTTTATGCACAATAAGTATTTTATATTTATTATTTATTTTATATTTTTCTGAATATTATAAAATAATAAAATAATTAATATATATATATTAAATAACTAAGAAATCAGTTACTATTATGTAATAAATTGGCGTATGCATATAAATTTAATCATCCCTCTTGTTTATTCGCAATTAGGGTAAAGAAAAAAAAATAATCAATCTTATAGATTGTATATGATATATAATTAAATTTAAATGATATAAACATAGTAATATAGCACACTTTTAATATGGATCTTTATTAAATGAGGTTTCTACTCATATGATTTTATGATCATTTGCATATTTGTGTAACAAAACTTTACACCAACGAACTTTTTTTTTAATGTGAGATATTTAGTAGTTTTAAATATTGCAAAATTAAAATATTAACTTTTCAATATATGTTCAATGCAAATATCAAAATAGAAGTATGTATTTTCATACGATGTATAGTTTAATTTAAACGATATGAAATATATATAAACTAAAATTATTTTTTCATATGGTCTTATAATCATTATATTTCAATATAGAAAAAAATTAAAACCTTGATCCTAAAAGTTTATGTGAAACTTTTAACAATTTTAGTTATTTATACTCATTTTGAAAAATTTGAAATACAACATACACAAAAATAGCTTGATTTTTATTATATGATTAATGTAATTGTGTAATTTATTTTAATAATAAAGAAATAAACAAAATGAAAAAAATATACAGATTGTTATCAAATCTTTATTGTTTAAAATCATTAATTTTCATATATATATATATATATATATATACATATATTAATCACATTGGGTAATTCCGTATGTTTTATTTAAGGAAAGCATGCGAAACAATAAATATTTGATATATGCGACCAACTATACATTTTAATCTATACATTATATTACATGCTCTAGAATCCTTCTAAATTGAAATAGAAGACAAAGAGCCATGCCGCATATGATTTAGGTTATTTTTAATTATTACAAACTAGGACCGGCCTGCGCTACGCGCAGGATATGATTATCGTGTGATTTATATAACTATAATATAGCTAATTGTACTATTACTTAGAGTTCGATAAGTTTGGTATTGATTTTGATTCTATTTGAATAAGTAAATATTCATCATATGTGGTTATGTATATATCGTAATTTGTTTTCAAGGAGTGTGTGTTGGAAAGCTACCAGATTATGATGCGTACTATAGATAATAAATTAGTGGTCTATGTTTTGCACAAACTTACACTTGAGTGTGTCACCTTGTTTCAGGTTCAATGTAATTAATTGGCGAGCTATAGTCTCAAAGTCGAAGGTAAAATTCATTAGTGTGTTAACTGTATTTTGCTTACCTTTAATAAAGTGGGGGGGGGGGGGAGTTACTATATGCAGTAGCTTCACATATCTTCTTCCTAACATAAGAACCAAATAAAACAAAAGGTGAAATGGCGGGTGAGCTAAAAGTTCTTGTAGAATTTCGGGTCTGTTGTATCTGGAGTTCCGGCGGCACCACTTTTTAAGATTGCATTGATGTTTCTGACCGGGAAACTCCTTGCTTGCCTCAGAATGTACATGACACTATTCAATAAACGTATGTTTGTGTGGAACATCTTGGGGTGTAATGAAGACATTTGTTTTTTTTTTTAAAGAAAATGAGGTTGTTGACGAATGTGACATATGCTCGAGCTCTTAATTAATATAGTAGCTTGGCTAGATGAGTGTTCTAAATTATGATGATGCAGATGAAGCGTTGATGGACAATTGTAGGGAACACAATGATTAATTTGAGTAACACATTGGCAACCTTCAGCAGAGGGCTTACAATCTTTTATTAATACATTGGCTGAGCTATGAATGAAGAGTTTCTTTTTTTCAAAGTCAACTCTAAGACAATATCAACTTCCCTGGTGTATATCAACTTAGGCGTTCCAAAATAGATGACACCAAAAGATTATAAGACGTAACATTTTAATGTCATTGTGTAAATCATTGTATCAATCTCTCTATAACTTTTAAGACAATGGTATTCATTCTCTTGTTGCGTTCACAAAGTACCAGAACCATAATTGTGTACAGAAAAAATATAATATCGATCAGAATCACAACTTAGTGTTTCTACACGTAGCAGAAAGCCTTTTCTTTTGCATGAGACTTTTAAGTCTTCTACTTATATCAGAAACAAAGATAGTGAAGAATCCATAAACTCTTTTCTATTTCTCCAAGAAGCCATACCTGTGGTTTCCATTATTTAGGCCAAAAGAGAAATATCCATAACTCAGACCGTGAAGAACATCAACTCTTTTTCAGATCATAAAGATTGGTCTTTGGGATTCTGTGCTTCAATGTCAACGTGCTGGATTCCAGGGACAAGGTCTCGGATCTGTTTCTCTAACCGGATTACTTCACTTCCTAAAGCTGTTACAACTTCCTCACCTACGACATGCTTAGACAGCTTGGAATATACAACCTCGAAGACAAATCCACAAGAAAAAGAACTTGGTGCACTGCATATCGTAATTTTACATAATATTGAGCATTGCAGAATCATCCCCTTTCTCTGCAGCCTCGCGAAACTGAGAAAGTACACCATCACTTTTTCAGATAGTTTTGAAGTAATTAACCACATATTTAACTAACGGTATTGTTCATCTTCAGCTAAAGAAAGACAGATATGAGATAAATGCTGCAAATTTAGTTACCAATCCTTTGAACAGTTGAAGAAACTCACCTATTTCAGCTTTAAATCTGAAGGATTCAGGACCAATCACTTCACTTTTGCAATCATTTAGAGCATATACAACCTACACATCAAAAGTTTCTTATTTAAATGCGTTAAACATAAGATTCATGAAAAGAAGAATGTGTATCGAGTCGTTCATTATGAAGTGAAGAATTTTACACATGTCTTGATCATCCATTGCTCTTCCAATCAAGGCATGTCGGATCCGTTGAATGAGAAATATAGCCACCTAGTAAAATACATACTCTTTGGTCTTAGAAAATTTAATACAGTGAAGTAGGAATACAAATTAAGTAGAGCTCGTAAACGTACCATTCCAAGTAAGTTTCCAACAACAATCCTATAGGATCATAAATAGCATTTCCTGTCATCTTAAAAACAACCAGAGAAGCCGCGGCAATTGCCAAAACTGCCATTGCAGTGCCGCCCTGTGCATTTACAACAATTATTATCATAAAACAATTTAGCAGAGGGTGGAAAAACTGTTTCAAGAATAGTAAACTAATACCTTGGTCATAACAGCAACAGAAGTAGGATCATGACCACGCCAAATATAATCTCTTATGGTCATGCCTTCTTGTGCAGCTCCTTTTTGACAGATTGAATAGCAACGGTAAGTGAAGCACCTTTACGACATAAAGGATTGTTAACCTTGAGAATGTAAGCTTGATGCATAGCAAGATTAAGCAGAAGTTATTACCTTAAATTAAAAAGAGCCAACAATTACCACATCAGCATATTCCATATTTGGAGGTGGTTGAGAAAGATTATCAATACTGATGAACATCAAGCATATACAACCAACAAAAATACAAAAATTATCGAATAACCCAAAGATCAAATAGCAGATAATGTCCAAGCCAATTACCTCAAAAGTCCACAAGTTCTGTACTCCGTAAACTATGGTATCACCAAACCCAAGGCAAAAGATGCTAACAGCAGATATCAAAGACCCTACAAACCTTTCCTTTGAGTAGCCATAGCTGAGCCAAGAAACAACATTTTTTGGTCTAAGCATTTTTCAAACAAAAGAAAGCTCTTATGTTACATAAGAGTATATATAAGATCAATTAAAGAACTATCACGGATGAGGTGTGTCTGGTGCACGCCTTGAGCTACTGAGCCCATAAGCAAGAAGAGCCTACAACATTGAAATGTATGAGTTGATGAATATACTAAACTGGACACACCAAAAAAAAAAGTAAAAAGAAAGCTAAACCGTGTTAGGAAAATCAGCAACAGAGTGAACAACTTCAGCCATAATGACATGGCTAGAACTTGTCCACCAAACCCCTAATTTGAGAGAAAACACAACAAAGTTTCACCACAGTGCAGTAGTGACAGTTCTTTGACTGCAAGATGTTTCACGAAAACATAACTCAACGATATAAATATATATATAGCTAGAAAGCTCCCGTCGTAATTCTCTAAGCCAAAGCGCATGTAAGAATTTCAATTCTCTCACCAAACAACAGCACCATAAGATCACAATAGCATCTATGAAACTAAACCTAGAAAGAAGCTAGCTAAGGCAATATTCTACCCCTTTAAAAAGATACTACTCACATTTCAAGAAACAGTAAAAAAGAAACAGTAGAAAGCATTACCTATGTTGATCATTGATCTTAATTCGCTTGACTTGTTTAGCCTGACTGAACAAATCTGTTATACCAACGAACACTAAGTCTAAATCACTCAGTACATCAATAAAATGGAAACTTTAAGCTAAGGAAGAAGAAGACATACTCCGGAGAGAAGTATACGGATCAATAAGAGGAGTATCTCAATCGAGCGAAACAGAGCATCGTACACCTAGACCTCGACTCGATGGAAACCCTCTTAATCACGAAGCCCTTATGCAGGCCGTTTGAGAAGATGAGAAGAATCACAAAGCAAGCCGTCGCAGGAAGAGGAGCGACGTTCGTTCTTCTCTGCAGCCGTATTAGGGTTAGCAGAACTTAGACCTATCGGGCCGGATACGCTTTCAAGTTTACAGATCAAAACAAAGGGCCCAAGACGAAACACACGGAAATACTTATCTAGCTGTCCTACGTGGACTTTCTTACGTGGAATCCGACGTGGCGGGCCTTAGAGGGAGGGAAGCTCTCTTTTATATAATAGATTTAAGGTTACAATTTTTTAAATGATTCTCTTTTAATATATAGAGGATATAGTAAATAATTAAAGATAAAATAACCAATTAAAAATCATATTCTAAATTTATTTTTAAACTTTCTAATTATATATTGCTTAACAAGTTAACTTGTTGTATTGACATTTAAAAACAATTTATAAGTAAATTGAGTAATATTTTTAGCATTCTAGTCCTAAAGGATTGTTGTTGAATAAATTTGAGTTTGTTTGTTTCAGACCTTCAGTTTAAATTCTTTAGATCTACGTAGGTGTGTTATTAGTTTTTTTTGTTTTCATTTAAATATGATAAATTTCAAATATTACTTAATTTATATTTAGATAAAACTGGCGTTAATGAACATTTTCTAACAATTTTTCAGAAGAGAAATTTGATTATATAACCAAAAATAAAACTGTATTTTACCAACTGACCATATATATCAATTTCTCTCTTTTCATTTTTATACATATCTCTGTACCATATTACTACAAATCTTATATTTTCTCCAATATAGTCATTCATCAAATTAAGCTTTTTCCAGAAAACTGACGGTAAAAAATTTCTTGAGGAAACAATGGTATCCAAATCTTTTATATATAAAACGAACGCTGAGGTCACATAGCGCGTATGAGCATGCGCCCTCTATTTACGTCTGAGAAGACCCATCATCAGGGTCGGTCATGGGGTCAGCCGGATGAAACATCCGCTTTGGGCCCCCAAATGTTTTAGAAAAAGTTATATGTATAGAGGTTTCTGAAAAAAAAATTTAGACCCCAAATCTAGCGAAAAAAAATTTAGTTAGAATCGTTAAAATAACGCCTTAGGTCCTCAAAATCTCAGGACCGGCCCTGTCCATCGTCTCCCTTTTCTTGCGTCGTGCTTTGCCTCTCCGATGCCATTTTATGCATGAGAAGCCTTGCGTCTCCTGTTTCATCCAATCTTTTTGCCGACGTATGCTTTGTTGGTGACTCTCTCTGAATCTAGACGTATGCTTTGTTGGTGACTCTCTCTGAATCTAGTGTCGTTGCATCTCAGAACTCGTTATAGGTTCTCATTAAGGAATTTTTTCAAACTGGTTTTACAGCCTAAAGATTGTGTTGATTCCAGATTGTGGAACAAACGTAAAGGTTTTACATTTTGTTTATAACATTCTGTAAACCATAACTTTCATTTCATGAAATGATATCTACATTTTTTTTTGATTAATCAGGAGGTGATTCGGCGGCTGTGGCCAACCGACTAATCCCCCTGAGTTCGGAACCACCCTGCGTCTGTATCTTCTAGGGGTCTAAGTCATTCCGTGGCCAGCGTGTATCGAACTCGGGTAAATGATATCTACATTAGTAGTAACATTAAACATTTGCGGAGTCTCTATCGAGATGATGTTTGGTGAGTACCAATTGCATAATAATACTAAAAGAATGGATTCGTAATCGCATATTAGTCACATCAGCACTAAATTGGATCTAATTATTAGCTAGAAAATGCCATTTGATGGCATCATCGTTATCCATCAGGCAGGAATCAATTTCATTACATATAATTAGATTAAGAGATAATTAATTACTTGGTAGACATAATTGACTACATCTATTTAACAAAATGTTTAAGACTAATTGTTTTCAGACTTTTGTTGTCAATATTTTTAGTTTTAATATGATTAGATTGTTAAAACGTTAGTTGTTGAAAAATTTGATGTGGCTTTATAAATATTAAAAATCATGGAATTGTGTTCTTAAAAAAAACTAAAGAGTATAATAGTTTATTTTAGCTATGAGAAATTTAGGGAGAATTTTTTTTTTGACATCAAAAAGTTATTTAATCACTCAAATTAGAAATGGTCTGGAATCCAGATCGAGATAAAACAACAACAAAAAAAAGATTCCTATGAAAATCACAATTTTTTTTTGGCAAGTGCATATGTTATTTGGTTCTGAATTTAAGGAGAATTTTTAGAACTTAAAGAGATTAAGGCTCCGAATGGGTGATGCAGATCAAACAAAACAATGCAAATCAAATATAAAAAAATTAAGATCAATATAATTTAATAAATTATTGTATAAATAAATATTAAAAATAATTAATGAAAATTAAATATCTAAAATACACCTTGTTATAAATAGTAGTTCAACGCTCAGAGTATCCACGTAAGCCTATTAATTCAGACCAATAAGATCAGCAGTATATGCCATGTCAGCTTTCATCACCCAAAAACGATATCGTTCATCAATATGACTATTGACCTTTCTGATCCACTTTCTAGTCAGTTTTGATTCCATCTTCTCACTATAAATTTACCCATTACTAACAATATGAATTTTCTTCATCTCCCTCTCTCCCTATATATCATCCATATTAAAGCAAACAAAAATCCTAAAAAATTAGGTCGAGAATCAAGGTTCAGTGGAATCAACAAAAGCTCAGCTTCAATCGATACCATGAAATCAAACTGGGAAAAAGCAAGAGAGAAATCTGAGCAAAGATTCAACATCTCAAACGTCTTCCCAAGTGAGATTCATTTTCAAAATTATTTCTTGGTTTTTAGAAACTTTAAAGAATCAATCATCTTTTGGTTTTCATTCCCTTTTTGTTGTTGGTGATCACACTTTTGATGAATCTTATGTTAATAACAATGATAGAGTCCTTTTTCAAGATTTTTTAGTTACGCATCCATGTGCTACATAAACCCTTAAACAGTCTGGGTCGGAGATGGTGATCTTTATGATTGACGAGGAGGGATTGCGTCTTAGCGTGAGAAAGAAATCAGACCAATAAGATCAGCAGTATATGCCATGTCAGCTTTCATCACCCAAAACGATATCGTTCATCAATATGACTATTGACCTTTCTGATCCACTTTCTAATCAGTTTTGATTCCATATTCTCACGATAATTACTAACAACATGAATCTTCTTCATCTCCCTCTTTCCATATATATCATCCATATTAAAGCCAAAAAACCCTACAAAATTAAGTCGAGAATCAAAGCTCAGTGGGGTCAAGAAAAGCTCAGCTTCAATCGATACCATGGAATCAAACCGGGAAAAAGCAGGAGAAAAATCTGATTAAAGATTCAACATCTTAAACGTCTTCCCAGATGAGATTCATTTTTAGAATTATTTCTTAGTTTTTAGAAACTTTAAAGAATCAATCATCTTTGGGTTTTCATTCCCCTATTGTTGTTGGTGATCACACTTTTGATGAAACTTACGTTAATAACATTGATAGAATCATTTTTCAAGGTTTTTTTGTTACGCATCCATGTGCTGCATAAACCCTTAAACAGTTTGGGTCGGAGATGGTGATCTTTATGATTGACGAGGAGGGATAGCGTCTTAGCATGAGAAAGAAATCAGACCAATAAGATCAGCAGTATATGCCATGTCAGCTTTCATCACCCTAAACCGATATCGTTCATCAATATGACTATTGACCTTTCTGATCCACTTTCTAATCAGTTTTAATTCCATCTTCTCACGATAAATTTACCCATTAGTAACAACATGAATCTCCTTCATCTCCCTCTCTCCCTATATCATCCATATTAAAGCAAAAAAAACTCTAAAAAATTAGGTCGAGAATCAAGGTTCAGTGGGGTCAACAAAAGCTCAGCTTCAATCGATACCATGGAATCAAACTGGGAAAAGAAGAAGAGAAATCTGAGCAAAGATTCAACATCTCAAACGTCCTCCTAGGTGAGGTTCATTTTCAAAATTATTTCTTGGTTCTTAGAAACTTTAAAGAATTAATCATCTTTTTGTTTTCATTCCCCTACTGTTGTTGGTGATCACACTTTTGATGAATCTTACGTTAATAACAATGATAGGGTCCTTTTTCAAGGTTTTTTAGTTACGCATCCATGTGCTGCATAAACCCTTAAACAGTCTCGGTCGGAGATGGTGATCTTTATGATGTATGAGGAGGGATAGCGTCTTGGCGTGAGAAAGAAATCAAGCTTCTCTCAGGAACTCACAAAGCCGTCATTGATGCCATGAACAATCGGGCCCAAACCTTGATGTCGGTCTCATGTCTCGATCCTTTTTCAAAGCTCCAACTTTTTGGTTCGCTTTTCTAGGAAATTGGAATGAAGGATTTGTATTTGGTCATATTGTGATCTTCCTGATAT